AAAAAAAAAAACGCAAACAAATCCATCCTCATCAAGTTGATTCTGACTCATAGTGACTATACATGTGGGTTTCGGAGACTGTAAATCATTATGGGCGCAGACAGCCTCATCTTTCTCCCGTGGAGTATCTGGTGAGTTTGAACTGCCAACTTTCAGTTAGCAGCCTAATGCTTATCCCACAGCACAACCAGGGCTCATAGCAGACATTAATAAATGCTTATGTTTTCTAATGTAAGCCTTCTTAGCTACTAAGCACTAAATGCTCCAGCAAGATTAAAAACATTATTGTCCACAAATAACACAAGCGCTCTAGTGGCATTTACACGCTGATATTGTTTGTCTTTTGGGCTAGCTGTGAGGATTTTGATTTTTTTTTTTACATTGACTTGTGAACCATATTGAAGTCTGTAGTCTTTTATCTTCTTCAATAAATATCTCATGCCTTTCTTGCTTTCAGCAAGCAAAGTTGTGTTATGTGCATATTGTACATTCTGAATGAGCCTTCCTCCAATCCTTATGCCATGCTCTACGTCATATAGTTTAGATTATCAATTTATTCTCTGACTAGATTGAAAAAGTGTGGTGAAAGATACAACCCTGAAACACACATTTCCTGATTTAAAGCAACACAGTATCCTTTCGTTCAATTCAAAGTACTGCCTCTTGGTCTATGTACAAATTCTACATGAGCACTGTTAAGTATTCTGGTATTCCAGATCTTCACAATTTAATCCTTAATTTGTTATGATCCAGACATCGTCAATAAAAAAACACAAGTAAGCATCTTTCTGGTATTCTTTTCTGTCAACTACTATCTATCTAACATCAGTAATGATATTCCTCTTGCCCCATCCTCTTAAGAGCGCAGTCTGAATTTCATGCTGCTGTAATTCATTTTGAATTACAAAATTGAAATTGAAATCTTGAAATTTTGAAAGCTTCAAAAATTGAATTGGATGTGACAGTAATGATGTTCTTTGGTAATTCATGCATTCTGTTTGGATTCCCTTTCCTTGGAATGGGCACAAACGTGGATCAGGCAATATTTCCCTTGGGCGGCCAGCCTCTCCTTTTCTCTCTCTCACCTCCCTGTTGGCGGGCCACTCTGAGACCTGCTTGAACCTTGTAATGTCACAGGACCCTGCACGTACCAACCTGTATGCATTCTGCATCATTTCATGTGTCTGTGTGAGTCTGAAGAGGGACTTATAACCTAGTACAAGACTTATGGACTTGAGTTGGACTGGGCTGGGATGTTTTCTTAATGTATAATTACTTCTTGCTCTCTCTTATACATATATGGGTATTTCTGAATTTAAAGCTCTCTCTTATACATATATGGGTATTTCTGAATTTGTTTCTCTAGTCAATCCCACCTAACATAGCCATCATCTGATCAATTTAACCTCTACTGGCAAACATCTGGTTTCTTGCTTGTTTTTTATGCTTCCACACTGTGAAGTTAACAATTAATAAATAATGTGAGGACTTTGGTTTGGACAGATAGAGAGGTATAAAGATACTGAAAGCTTTATTCCATCCAAGTAACTAAAATTGACTTTGAGGAGACAGACTTGTCCTTGGGCTTCTTTTAAGGGCCACGAGCTCCTGAGAAATGAACTGTCCCATTCTCCTTCCTAGTCTGTTCTTAGTTTGGAAACTTCACTGAAACTTGTTTTCCATGGATGATCCTACTGCTATCTGAAATACTGATAGCACTTCTCCAAGAATCATAACAGCATAGAAGCCACTACAAAGACAACAAACTGACAGATGAGTGGGGCACACTGTTGATAAGAATGTAAAATGATGTAGCCAATTTAGAGTACAATTTGGCAGTTCCTCTAAAGGTTGAATAAAGTTAGTATTTGATGCAGTAATCCACTACTAGGAATTTACTCAAGAGAAATGAAAATGCATGTCCATATAAAATGTGTACAAAAATATTCATAAGGGCATTATTCACAATATTCATAGACAAGGAAAAGACAAATGTCTATCATCTGGTGAATGATTAAAGTATATATTCATATGATGGAATATTAAAAGGTCATAAAAAAGAATGAAGTACTGATACAGTCTACAATATGAATGAATTTTGAAACCATTATACTAAGATTTTAAAAAGGTTAAGATACGGCAGAAGAATTGTGTTTGGGTACATTAGAGAAACAAATCCACCGAAACTCATATGTATAAGAGAGAGTTTTATATAAAGGGTAAGTGTACATTAAGAAAGCATCCCAACCCAGTGCTGCCCAAGCCTGTAAATCCAACATTAGCCCATATGTCTGGCACACAATCTACAAAGTCCTCCAAAAACACACACTATGGCGCCAACTTCAGGGGAAAGGCAATTCAGTAAATGTGTAAGCATCTCAGTGCTGGCAGGGGACTCCACATGGCTGCCCCAGCACCCAGGGCTGCATCGGGGTAGGTCCATGTGGCTTCTCCTCAGGGATGTCTTGCAGGAAGTGAGCCTTGCCAGCTGAGGTAGGGAACTAGCTAAGGCTGCTGCACCCTGGTCTGAACATCAGAAAGTAAGAGACCCGAGAACTGAAAAGGCGAGGCTCACTGAGCCATTTATCTCTCCACCCTTCAATTATTCCCACATGTGTTTATCAGCCAGGTTGGCGCAATAAACCTCAACTATCTCAATCCACCCCTTGCCAACTTGGCACCTGTACACAATTCTTTATCTTAACAATTCCAGTTAAGTAACACCTACACCTTAATCCTGTGAATATATTCCCCCCACCTATGAAAGTTTGTAGCCAACCACTTCATGCCTTTATCCTCCCAATTTGGAGTATCCAATTTCTATACTGCCCACTTATATCAAGCCAGTGCTCTGATGAGACAATCACATTTTTCAACATGAAGAATCTTCATTCCAGGTAGAACCTTGTGAATTCTGCATCCATAAGCAAAGTCAAGTT